TAATGTTAAATACAAAAAGTACGATATATATAATTTTATAATAACTGCTGCACGTTGTGGTTTTGAGAATAAGAGAAATTACCGATTGGAACTTGTGATGTCGCAGTTGGGTATTGCACTTTCTTTTAGATATTCCAGTGTCAACTTGAATCTTTCCTTCTTGCCTCTTCTGCCAGAATCTCATTTTGTAGTAGCTGAATAAGAATTAATAGAATTTTTTAATAATATTTAAAAAGAGCAGAATCGTGTTTCTTTTCAAGCTTTTGAACTCATCGCTCTTTATACTTCTAACCTTTTGCTATATTTATCGCTAAATGTTATTTAAAGAAACGTTTCTTGTCGACTTTATTGTTCCTTCTCTTGCTTTTAAGCACATCATTGTGAATAGTTCAAAAATCCATCAGTTGCTTGTTAGCTGCAAAGGCTATTAAACTGTTCTTATTTAGATAATCCACATTTTCTGCTCTCTCTTTTTCTATTGTTTCAGAAGGATTTTTTGCATGTCTTGTAGAAATCAGGAATGTTTTTTCGTCCTGTTTAACAGTACAAAAAAAATTTGTGAACAGTCAGTCACTGTTTGAGAACTGTTTGCTCTTTTCACGCTGAACGCTAGCACTTACTAAGTGACAGCAAAATCGTTTGTCGAGTATCAGCAATTAATACTGTTTTTGATCTCAACTAGAGCTAATTCTTAAATTTTTTTGCTTACTTGGTGTTTTGTGTTTTATCCAAAATTGCTTTATAGACTTCACTGTAACTTTGTTTTTGCTCGTTTGCTTAACTCTTCACATTACCGTTTAGAAAGAAACTGTCTTTTATGTTATCTGCACAAATAATTCCGCAGAAAAGTTGAAGAAAACTTTTATTTTCAATTATATATTCGATAAAATGATTAAGTGCTTAAACATTAACAGCTTTATTTGGTGACATAAATAATAAAAAAAGTTTTTGGTAGCTGTAATAATTTTTTCTTCACAAATTTAGCTGTTTAAAGAACGAAGTAGGTTTGTCGATTTGAAATTGTACATACCATCTACTGTTCTTTACATCAATTTCATTTACGAGGTACTCATATTCGTACGTCAGAAGAATTTTTTTTTGCGTTTAGTTTCGCAACCAACTTATATTTTTGAAATAAAATTTTCTTTTCGAGTTTCATATTTTTTCTACAGACATATATATA